CCTGAATGGTATTGCCAAGGTCTTTCTTCAATGTGTATGAAAACAGAACAGCTCAAGATATTATTCTAGGTTTTCAGTGTTTGATTTGAGTTGATTTGTCTTAATGAATGTAAAAAGCAATCCAGAAGTATGTATCAGTTATTTCTGAATGGCCCTACTGCAGCAGTGTTCAGAAATACCAAAGATTAAGCAGCCTTTGTGTTTGGCAGTATACAAGCAAAAGAAACCCTTCTTTGAGGTTCTTAAAATGGAGGACATTTAAACAGATCTTCATGCAGAAGATCTACAGAACCCTATTTTCTGTAATGGTGTAAGAATCCAAGTACGAAGAACTTTTAGCACCAGGTATCACAAATTGTACTTAGAACAGTGCACAATCTTATTTTCCATGTTATTATTTAGCTATTACTGCTTTTACTTACGTCAGACCCAGTGATTTGGGGAGAATTTCCTTATGGTCCTCACTGTTAAGCTGCAAGCTTCTAACATGCTTTGTTTCATTGTTGTCATTAAGTTCTCCTTGGTGAAAACTTACCTCCTCATTCCAAGTGTTTCTTTCTCAATACACTTAGACCTCAAGACTGTCCTTTCAGTAAATTTTAATGCAGAAACCATCACAATTCATCTAATAGGTTTTCAATGGGCAGCCCCTGGTAGCAACTGTTAGGGTGTTTTTGCTTTAGTTCTGCATTTGGCACTTTTTGGGTGCTAAGATTTTATTTATTACTATCTACCTCAGCAACTATAAGATTTTATTTATTACTATCTACCTCAGTAGCATGAGTGTCACAGCCACTTTCATCATAACCTCATAATCTCCAATGTAAAGGTACAGATGGAGTTTTCAGAGTTGGGAGCTCTCATTTTGAGTGATACAGAATTTTAAGCATAAATGTCATCTTAATTGTTCATTTTCTTTTCAGATGCCAGCTTGTCATTGTTAGGATTTGCTGGTTCCAGAAAAGGACAGACATAATTTCATATTTAAGTTGCACAGATGAAAGTATTTATTTTGACAATGGTAAGAAATGGCCAAATACGGGAATAGTTACCTCTCTGTTTTACTGCCACAGAGTGATGATGATTTATCTTCACAAAGACAAGAAAAGGCAGAAAAGTGCAGCTGCAACTATTTTCTAGAAATTAGACAAGTGTTATTTGCTAAACAGTACAT